AACCCCCCCACAAAAAAAAAAAAAAAAAAAAAATCGAACAGTGAGACAGAGGAAAGGTTTACTCTGTCCTGCTTGGTTTCGATTCAGCTATGTGCTGTTGTTGGCATTCATCACAGTCTAACCCTTTCGTTTTCTAATCTTGCACCTCATTTGGGTTCCGAGCAATTTGGGACAGGGACCATGTCACTTGGGCTGATAGTGAAGTCCATAAAGTTAGTGAATCAACATTGTTAATTAAGGGGAACAAATGCCATCAACCAAGAAACGTAGCCTATAAGATCTCTTTGCAAAAATTAGTTGTTGTCCTAATAATATACACATGGAAACCACTGTAAGATAAAAAAGCCTAGAACATTTGAAACTCTAACCACTAAAGGTGAGCTTCTATGCACTTCATTCCCACATGTCTCCTGGCAGAGAAAGGAGACTAGAGAGGGTAGAATGGGTCCTTTTTATTCAATAGCCCTGTGGTCTGTCCAGCAGATGTTCTGTCTGTTTGAAGGGAAGAAGATCAGACTCTCTGGTTATCCAAACTGCCTGACCTCCACAATAATTATTTTTTAATTCTTTAAGAATGATTTGTAGTATTTTGATTGACTTTTTAAAGAATTATTTTATTTAACCTTATTTATTTATTTATTTATTTATTTAACTTTGACCAAAGAGGGACAGAGCAAGAGGGAAAATGAAAAAGCAAGTCACCAGGTCCAGGACTCGAACTCAAAATCAGTCATATGGGAGTTCAGTGTCCTTAACCACCATGCCACCTGCTGGCCCCTTGATTAATCTTACTCGCTTTCAGTTCAAGATTTGAACTCAAATTGCAGCTCATTCTAGCCTGCTTCTAGTAGGCAGGCTTCCACTGACTATTAACGATCCTAGACAAAGTGTCTTCAATATGGTCCATGCTATTAAGCAAAGGAATCTCCTTAAAATTAAGGTTGAGGGAACCAGCAGTTAGCGTAATGGCTATGTTGCTGGACTCCCACGTAGTCGACTGCGGTTCGTGTCCCGGACCCGGTGGCTTAAAACTCACGCCGGGCACGTGTGCGTGCGTGCCCAAGATCCCGAGAGGAGAATGGAGGAGAAGGGATTGCGGCGTGACCATCCCCCCTGGGGGGTGATTTCTCGCTTTCTGTCTCTAATGTCTCTCTCTGTCTGGCGAGCGCACGCGCCCTATAGTGAAAATCTCTCCAAAAAAAAAAAAAAATTAAGGTTGAAGGCACAGGGAGAAAGGGAACTGAGAGCCCATGAATGAGGAATGTGGATATATTCTCTGAAATGAGATTAAAGTTCTAGACACCATGCACTCCCTACCCACTCCCCAACATCATAAGAAAGTAGAATTTCTGTGCTGTCATGATTATAGAAGGATACCTTCTCAACCAACCTAGCTTCCCAGTAGCTTTCATTGAACATTTGCTTCCAGCCTACTCTAATGCTCAGCAAAACTGTGATTTTCCTACATACAAAGCCCCACCAGAGATGTTATAGATGGTACAAAGAATAGTTGGTTTATGTTTTGTACCCTCAAAATGCTCAGCAGTAAGCTTGCAGGAAAGGAACCAAGCAAGTTTTCTTCTTTGTATTCCTTACATTGATTACCAAAGTGTCTGAAGTATACAAGTGCTTTATTAATGTCTGTTGAGTAAGCGAATATATGAATTATCTCATTGGAAGACCACTAATGGTAGAAATCTTGGGAGAAGAACCAGTGCTGAGGAAGGTAGGATGAGCTGGGTACCATGCATACCTGCGCTTTCTAGCATGGGAGACACAGGCTCATGTTGCTAGTTAAATTTTTATTAATTAAAATTTTATGAAATTGGGGCTGGCAGGTGGCCTGGTGGTTAAGGGCACTGGACTCTCACATGGTCGACCATGGTTTGAGTCCCAGACCTGGCAGTTTGCTTTCTCACTTTATCTCTCTCTCCTCTCTCCCCCGCCTCCCCCCAGTTAAATAAATAAATAAATAAATAGTTAAATAAAAAGAATTCTGTAAAAAATTTAATAAAATTTACATTTTAGTTTTGAGTTACACTGATCATATTTCAAAGAGCTACTTTACTGTAGTGGACAGTGCAGAGAATGCTTCCATCATTGCAGAAAGTCCTACTGAACAGCCTGGCCTATATAGTGGGGAGTGGAAAAGCACAGGGGGAGAAACATAGCCCTGACTCATAGAACAGCTCTATCTCACAGAAGGTGAGAATGAGACGATTTGTGGAGGCCCCTGCATGCCGAGTAGAGGACATGACAATGGAAGTTACCTTAGGCAATGCAACATATGTAGTTGAAGCAGAAGAAATACTGAAGGAAGACAACTAGCTAAGAAGCAAAACCTAAGAATGAGTTATTAGGAAACCAGACTAGGGTCAGACAGAGTGAAAGAGGATAAGGTACTCTAAAACAGAGAGAACAGGATTCGATGCTTTGACATAGATGGCTAATGGGAGGGGGAAATCAAAGTGTCAAGCTTGACTAAAAAAAAAATCACTATATGGAGGAGAGAAATGGAACTGGCTTTAGAATTCATTTTAATATGGGGCCAGCAGGTGACATGGTCATTAAGGCACTGGATTCCCACATGGTCAATGGCAGTTCGAGTCCTGAACCTGGTGACTTACTTTCTTCCTTTCCTCCTCTGTCTCTCTCAGTCTTGTTCTCTCTCTGATCAAGTTAAAATACAATAATAATAAATAAAATTAGAATAAATAATTCTTAAAAATAAAAAAGAATTCATTTTAATATGTGCTAAATGGTGCCCTTCTCTACCCCCAGAAAGTCTGATCATCTGGAATTGAAGATCCTTGAACTCCTCAGGTTAAGCCAGAGCTATTTCTTCATTTCAGGCTTAAGAATGATGACATAAGAGACCCCAGGAGGCCTGTCTACAGTTTTAGAGGAAATACAGAAATGTGACCCCTCTAGGGCTCCACTCATAGACACTCTGAAGTCAAACTTCCTAGGTTAAAATCCAGGCTCTCCCCTTTCTAGTAGTGTGACTTGGGTCAATGTATTTACCTTCCCTGTGTCTCAGTTTCCTCATCTGTAAAATGGGGTTATAATGAAGTTATTATGAGGATTAAGTCAACTAAGACATGTAATATGCTCCAAACAAACAATTCCTGACCCATAGGGATCATTACTCTATAAATGGTATATTTTCACCTCCAGTTTGAGTAGGATCGCAATTATGAACTCAGCTAATGCTTCCAAGAACCAGCTCCTCCCTGATTAATCAGGTTGTTTTTCCAACCAAAAATTACTCATGATTCTTTACCCTCAGGAAGGACCAATGAAGTATTTGGATAAAGCTTTGCATGATACATTTCTCTTTCAGTCTTCTAGCGGTCAAAGGCATTAAAAAGAAATATCATTCTGATCTTTGTGCTTTCTTTAGCCTTTTTCAGTTACATTAGGTAAAATTCTAAAGAAACAGAATGAAAGATACCCGACCCTGATTTCTGATTAACGTCGCTACAGACTGAAATGCTGCTCACACGAGATCTTTCTAGTCCTTCTATCCCATTTCCTTCCTACTTGTTATTCCTGGCTGTCCTCAGGTGAAACCAGACTGGGGTCAGGCAAGTGAAAAGTA